TCCCTACTGAAGTGCATGGGCTAGAGGAGTCTCGTCTTGGTAGGAATAAGCAAGATTTGAGTTCACTAGCTAAAGAATACAAGCTGCAGAAAATTGCAAGAAATCTCTGGGGCTTTATTCTTTGGTTTAAGATACACTTCACTGAGATAGTCTTAACAACATGCTGAGTAGAAATCTTTAGGAAATAGCTTGGTTGTGTTTTTAGAGCTTTGCATTCTGTCTCAAACTCTCCTATCTGTCACAAGGTTTTATTCTTTTTTTTTTTTTTTAATGTATTTTACCATTTTTCATCATCTTGTACAAAAGCAAATCAAGCTTTTAGCAATTTTCACAGTTAGTGTCTTCGCTTTCATTCTGAAGTCACAGTATTAAAAGTGTTTTGGCATAGACTGCTGCTTTTGTCACTGCTGCTCTTCTTATGAGTACTCTCAGAAGCCTTTTTTTTTAATAAAATAATCTGTTGCTAGAAATAAGAAACTTCTCTACCCAGCTAAGGGACACTGTAGTAGTCTTAATTTGATATAATCTGATGAAAGTGGAAAATATATTGCTTTCCTTCAATCAGTAGTGAGTGTGAGCATGTCACAAATCTGTGAATGGTTTTGATGATCTCTGATCTTCCTGTTTCTAAATATTTTTTACCTTCTGCATTTTTGTCGTGTCCTCCCTTTCAGACTTCCCAGACTTGTATCTGAAAGATAACTAGGGAATGCTGGCAGCCTCCTGTGTACATTTCCACCAGACAAAATAAACTTTTTGTAGGGAATGTGCTTTTAACTTCCCAGCTGAAGAAAGGGTTTTAAAAGTATGATTTGTTTAAAAAACAAAATAAATTGAATGAAATGTTGATTAATCTTCATGTCAGTTGATTAGGATAAAATCCAGATGTAGTTCTGTTATCTCTTAAGAAAGGTATGAAGCTGTGTTACTGGTTGCAAACATCTTTCATCAGTTGTTTTAAAAGGTGCTGCATTTTCTTAATTTATTTTGTTAGAAGTCACGTTGCTAAATAGGATGATATTTGGCTTTCTGTGAAAAAAAAAGTATGTGGGAAAATACAAATCATTTTTCACTTTTTATATCCAGTGAAGAGGAAAAAGTTGTTCCAGTTTTGTACCTTTAAAAACCAGAAACATTTAGCAGTTGCATACAACTGTCCATAAGCAACTACTAGGCAAGGGTTTATTTCACTATGGTAAGGAAAATGCCTGATAAGTGGCATAAAGCAACAGCAGTCATGTAAAAGCATAAATTAATTTGAAGATCTGGACAGAGCTTCCCTAGAGAATCATCCTAAAAGCAACGATTTTGGTTCATTGACAGTTTTTGCCATATTTATTGGAGTAAAAGGTTTGGCCAGTTTTATCTGTCTTATTCTTGTAACCTGCAAAGCTAATGACAAAGTTTATATAAATACATTGTTTTCCTTCAACAACACTCAGTCATAAGTTAAATGTTTTAAAAATATCAGTTTCCAAAGACATTGGTTTTTTTTTCTTTTAAATACTGATTTGTAGTTTTGCATGAACTCTTCTATCATCAGAACAGCTTTTGTACTTAAACACGAGTTTTCCAAACATTTCACAAAGACCTGTTTTCCTTCAAATAGCCATGTATTTGAATTTCTGATCATTCCAAGCGTCAGGTCACTGGCTTGCTTGCATGCTTGGAATTGGCAGGTTTCTTTTAATCTCTGTTGAAGTTTCTGTACCTTTCAATTGTCAGAATGGGAGGAGAATGGAAATAAAAAGAAAAGGAAGGTGCAGATTAATACAGTGAGTTCTAGATGGCACAGCTGCAGTAGACCAAAGAATTCCTCAGAGAGCAATGATAATACTCATGCCCCCAGTGAATGAGGAAAAACTTGCCCCTATGGATAATATAATTGAATAAAGGACTAAAAATTTTAAAATAGATAAAATATTAATATAAAATATTAAAACCCACTTCATTCAGTAGAAGCCTAAGTTGCACATACTGTTCTAGCAGTGTGTGGAGTCATCCTCAGCAGGGAGGTATCCTGAGCATTGGGTTTTGCTGCCCTTGCCCCACACTTCAGTCCTTTGAAATATGCCCAGTTTATGTTGTTTGAGTTGCTCAGGTGGATCTTTAACATGTACCTAGACATGAGGAAATTTAGTTACATACTAATTAGTGTCTTGCTGCTTCTCAGGAAAATAGACAGTATTCTCTGTCTAAAATACTACGAAATTTTCACAACACATTTTCTGTATATAGGTGGAACAGCTTTTTCCTTCATTAAAAGCCTACTTTTTGATAAGCTGCTTCCTAAACTGCTTATAGATTGGAATTTATTTGTAAGTGCCAAGAAGTTATTACGGGTTCTGATTTTTACTCAAAAAAAAAAAAAAAAAAAATTCATGAGCCTATTCTGGGATACTATCTGGTTAGAAAGTGTACAGTGGATGGGATTATGACCAGAGGCCTCTTCAAGCTGTTGGAAGCATTTCCTTTGTATTGTGTTCCTGGGTCTGTGGCTGGGCTTTGGTCTGGTGAGCCTTTAGATTTATTTATACAGTGCCCACGCTCACAGATTCCATGGAAATAAAAATGGAGGAACAGAAAATGCCACTCATCTCTGAAGTGTTTCATCTGCCTCTGTATCTGGGAATCAGATACAGGTAAATCCTGTTCTGTCCTTAAAGACATTTGTCATTTGAAGGGAGGCTGTTAATCTCATGAAAATCATCATTATACCTGTGAGATACAATCTGACAATTCAGTACTTTTAGTTTTTTATTCAGTAAACGTGGTGCTAACAGTGCCTTATGTACTTACAGATGCTTGTAGCATGTACAGTTTTGGGATGAGAAGCAACCATATGTTTTGAAATGATAAATTCTCCATGCATTTGGGCCTTCTCATTTGGAAAAAAAAAAAAAAAAATTATTTGGAATCATGCAGTGGTTTATAGTTATACAAGATATTAGATGCTTTTTGATGTGCTGCATACTAAATTGGGTCATTAGTAAAAGAGCCTTTACCATAATTATTCAGGGTGTAATCTAAAATACTAAATTTTTTATCTGCTGGGTTTTTTTCAGCTGCAGATGTTGTTTGTGCTTACGTAAGTGGGTAACGTGGAGCAATAAAAGCAGATCAGAAAATCTCAGTACTTGATAATGAAGCCACTGTATCTACATTATCTGCATCTTGGAGTCTTTACTTCAAAATAAATCTAATCTCCTTAACCAAACTTTCCCACTCCCCACGATCCAAAGCTGTTTCAAAGGCAGAACCTTGGTTTCAAGCTCTCTGTTCCCACCAAGGGGTTGGAGCACATTTGCTGTGAACCTGGAGCGTGGCCACCGCTCTGATTTCCTCAGAAGTGAAGTTTGCCCAGCCCAGAGTCACCCTGCAGACTGAACAAACCCATAGCTGGGAAGGAAGGCTGAGAAAGTGCACTTCATGGTTTCAACCAGCATGTTGTTTCCCTTAATCATGGTACTAGGGCTGAGAAAAGTTGGGGTTTGCAGTTTAGCCACAGAAGGCATCCTCAGTTTTCCTCTCAGAGGGAATCTGGCCAGCCAGTGGAGATAGTACTGCATTTTCCAAAATGCTCTCTCCCAGTCCTAGCAGTCCATTTGAACGTATACATCACAAAGAACATAGGTTGCTTATTTGAAGTTTGGTCTCAAAATGAGATTTTGAGATATGTGCCCTTGTCTAGTGTCTTTCCTCTCTGAAAATGTTGATTTTGATGACATATGGCATTGAGGGATACTTGAGGATTTTACCTGTGTGGCAGATAAAAATTTGAGTAAATGGATATGATTTTGGTCAGGGAAAAATGTTTTAGCTCAGATTTATTTATTTATTTTTAATAAAAAGTTAAAATGACATTATAAAATGGAAAAAGTGAAGGAGAAGGTTCAATACTAGGATCTATTTTATAGTCCTAGCAAAGCCTGCAAGGAATGCACATGTGTACAGTTACCTTGTGTGCTCCTACCCATCTGTATTTGCACAGAGCTACTGCTGGAATTGCACAGACTGCCAGATGGCAAAGATGCTGTCATCCTGTAGCATCCACGTGTACCAAAAGTGACATAAGGTATATATCCTGCTTTAGAAGTAACCTCCAGGCATTTATTC